CTGAACATGCATCCTATAACCCACTGCATCAAGAAATGTAGTTGTTAATCACAAATGTGATCCTGAAAAGGATTATTAAATATTTTTATGGGAAATCATTTACAAATATAATAATTTTGTATTCATTGTGTAGCTCTTTCTGGCCAGTACAAACAATATGGGAACATATTTACATATGCTTATGCATTTATGAATATTATAAAGATTATACAGATATGAATGTGGCTGTGATTATGTAATTGTAATTAAGGGATGTTTTAAGGGCCACCATGTTATAAGATCAAAGGAACTCACATAAAATATTAGTATAGATAGGAAAATCCTGTTTCTCCTCTCCAGCTGCTCGGGATTGAAGTTCACTAGTGAAAACACACACACAACACCCCAGATCCATGAGCACGTGCATGTTCGTGGATCCCCTGAGTAGCAGCACGGCTCCTCTGTCCATCCAATACCCCTGTGCCCAGATCCTGACCACTTTTACCCTCTCCATGAGCCTCCTACTCACCAGCTAGTCCAGCTTGATGATCGCTAGAAAACAAATGCACGTGTTCACACTCACCTCACATTCACAGATCCCTCAAATTATCAGCCCAAGCTCTCAGCCTTCCTAATATCCATGCCTGGATCCTGCATCTCCTACTTGCAGCTAGCCCAGCTTGAAGTTTGCTGGTGAACTGCACACAGTTGCACCCACATGCACCAGGTCAGTGCAAAGGATAAACATCCAGCTCAGTGGCTGATGTCCCAGCATATGGACCCTGTGACCTGTGCTTCCCAGTCCAGGTGCCGGTGCCGAAACCCTCGCTCGCTCCGTTTGCTGGCACTGCAAACACACGGAGACCTCTTGACCGAGGTCTACTACCAGTTGCTGGCACTGCGTTCACCCGCTTCTGCCCTCCCACCCCCCAACAGCGCTGATCTTTCCTGTCACGCCATCTGGTTCTGCGAGCTTTGGGTCACGTTTCCCCAGCATCACTCCTGCACTGGAAAAGGAGATAAATTCAGCATTTCGGACATCTTGCAGTCTAAAATGATAACGAGCTGATAAAGGATGGGGGAGTTTTACAGATGTCCAAAATATGGGGTAGTAAGGTCTGGTAGAGCTATCTGGTTTTGGCTGAGTTAGATCTATGAACCAGCATCATGTGAGAATTTTCCAGGGAGTCATCCTTTCAATGGTTCTTTATAACAACATTTCTGCATTCCTCTATGTATTTTTTCAGAGATACACAGATGAAATTTTAACTAATGAAGATCCTTCCCAGCCACTTATCCCACCACTGCAGCACTACCTGGAAAAACCCATAAACAGGATCCAGCAGTACCAGACTATAATCAAGGTGAAAAGCTTTTGTTATATGCTTATATCTGTTAGGTTTATGTTCTGCTTTGCGCAGCTCGTGTAGAAGAATATTTTATTTTTATTTCATGTTTCTTCGCTTTCTTCTGAAGCAACTACAGCTGAAAGCTGCTTAAGTAAGACAGTCATCATCACCGGTGATGGTGATCTCTAAATAGCTTTTTAAATGTAAATCCAGGTAGAGGTTCACAGTCTCCAACCCCATAACGTTCAGCAAGCTTCATCTGAATGATCTTTAAATATATGCATATACATATATAAAAACCATGTTTATACCCATATATATATATATGAATACTTGTATGTATATATCCATGACAAGTAGGAATTCGCTTCACACTCAGCAACAGGTATGTTATAAAAGTAAGTAATTTTCAATGTGTAAGAAATTAACTTACCAGTTTCTCTCCTTGTGTTTTATACTGACATTATAGTAAGATGAAATTTTTGTTTTCTGAAAAGCCTTGCCTCATTCTACCACCCTGAAATGTTTCATCTTTTAAGTTTTCATCTGTCCTACTATTTCAGGTTCTAGCCCAGACCACAAATGAAAGGTTCAAAGTAGCATTTTTTTAATGGTATTTTTCATGGGAAATAGCACTAGGATAGTCAGAAAGAAGACTGCGAAAATATTTCTGTACTCTAGCATTACAGAAGTGAGCAGTTTGAATAGTTTGAAGAAGGTTCAAATTAACTTTCTAATTTTGAGCACCTGCCTCCACACAAACACCAACATTTTAAAGGGTCTCTTGGAAGAGAGAGTGAGCATGCCTTCGTTACTAACAGAGAGGAACAGAAACAAGTGTGGAAGAAAAGAAGAACTGCCATTTCATATTTTTTCCATCCTCTCTTGTTTTGAATCTAATAGCAACTCAGTTTAGCACTGTCACATGAATTCCTTGCCTCATGGTATCATCAGGGTAAGCACAAGAGAAATGCAATGGATAAATTTAGGACTGCTTTGGGATTTTTTTGGAGTTTCAATCGCTGAACCATATCTGGTATTTGCTTCAACTTTGTCTTTGTTTAATATCAATTGATGTAAGGAAAAGCCAGACTAGCTAGTCAGCGAGGCTGCGGAATGGGTAGGAAAGAGGAGAATTTAGTAGCCAAGCAGCACATGGTGAAAGCATGGGATAAAAGTTGCTCAGGTGAAAAAGCTGGAACAGGTATTGAGAAACTCTTCGACTATCAAGGAAATGTATTCTTTTTTCCTGACTTCCCAGCAACTTTTTCTTCATTCATCTCCAGGAATTAATCCGAAACAAAGCAAGAAATAGCCAAAACTGCACTTTGCTGGAGCAGGCTTATGCCATTGTGTCTGCACTCACCCGAAGAGCAGAAAACAATCTCCATGTCTCACTCATTGAGAATTATCCAGGGACCTTGGAAAGCCTTGGTGAACCCATCCGACAGGTAACTGGAATTTCTCAGTCAGCATTAGTGCTATGCATGCTTTCACTAGTTTCTAAGTAGCCTTAGGTCCTACAAGAAGCTCCTTTAGAAATCGTATCTGAAAGAAAGAATTTGCTTATTGCCTTTCTTACTGGTCAGAGAGATGGGTCTCCTGGCTTATTTAAGGTTTGAAGCACCAGAGCATAGACGCTTATGGAGCAATTCACACATAATGTAGTTATTTGCCTTTCCAACCCGTTCATCAAACAGGAACAGATTTGCTCTAGGCCCCCACATGATTTTAAAGCATTTCATTTTTTCCTCCTCCTTTCTTATTATCGGCAAGTTACATGGGCCAACTCCTGAAATTACTGGCATCAGTGGGTTTTTCTGTTGACTCCTCAAGTGTTGGAAGCTTACTGGGCCTTTTCAATCTACGTGCTTTCATTTGATACAGATCTTTCAAAGAGCCTAATTTGCTGGGATGTTGGTACAAGGTAGCATAGTATACATTGCATATGCTCCATGTGAAAACATTAGATCAGCTTATGGATGTTCGTCCACGGCTGTTCGTATATCTTCAAAAGACCTGTGTGCTTCTCCAGGTCTCTTTCATGAAACAGATGTGTGTTTTAGGAGCACAGAGGAAAGGTGACCCAGCTATTGGGACACTAGTCTAGGACTTTCAACACCCTTACTAAAATTCCTGTTTCTTTGTAGACTTACTGTGTCATGCTGGGCAAGTTGGGGCCAATGGCATCCTGGTTTGTATCAGGAATAGTGTGGCCAGCAGGACCAGGGAGGTGATGGTGCCCCTGTACTCGGCACTGGTGAGGCCACACCTCAAGTACTGTGTTCAGTTTTGGGCCTCTCACTACAAGAAGGACATCGAGGTGCTGGAGCGTGGCCAGAGAAGGGCAACAAAGTTGGTGAAGGGTCTGGAGCACAAGGCTGGTGAGGAGCAGCCGAGGGAGCATGGGGTTGTTTAGTCTGGAGAAGAGGAGGCTGAGGGGAGACCTCATCGCTCTCTACAACTGCCTGAAAGGAGGTTGTAGCGAGGTGGGGGTCGGTCTCTTCTCCCAAGTAACAAGCGATAGGATGAGAGGAAACGGCCTCAAGCTGTGCCAGGGTAGGTTTAGGTTGGATATTAGGAAAAACTTCTTCACCGAAAGGGCAGTCAGGCACTGGCACAGGCTGCCCAGGGCAGTGGTTGAGTCCCCATCCCTGGAGGTATTTAAAAGAAGGGTAGACGTGGTGCTCAAGGACATGGTTTAGTGGTGGGCTTGGCAGTGATAAGTTAACGGTTGGACTCGATGATCTTAAGGGTCTTTTCCAACCTTAACAACTCTATGATTCTAAGTCATTTACTCTGCCTGTTTGTATCCTATGTCTTCCATGGGAATCACAGTGTATTGCTGAGTGGAGTTGTAAGGCTAAATTACAGTGATACTCTGGTGGGCATTCGTCTGTCCACATTTAGACATCCAAAAAAGAGCCCAATCACACCCCAAGAGTGCTTACTTCTCCCTAATGATGCCTAGGGGGAACCCATGTCACTAACTGAGCTGTATGTGTCTGAAGGTATGAGAAATTAATGTCCTGCTCTGGTGAAGGAGACTAAGTGAGCATATAAAGTGTCTGCATAACACACACGATATAATTTTCCATTATCATTAGTACTAGTGGAGTGTGCCTGCTTGACGTGAGCTCTGTATTTTTCTGGCAAGCAAGAATACCATTTAAAGGTCAAAGTAATGACAACCACTGTGTGCACCCCTGGTGGTGCTGTCAGCCTGATGCATCACCTTTAGCATTAGAAACAATCTGCTGTGCTGTAATAAACCAGACACATAAAGTGATGATGTAACAGTAAACATTTGTTACCTGTTCACTGAAAAATGATGGTGAGACATCATCATGGTAATTATTCCAGAGTTATCACTATGTGCTCTTCCTTCTTTTTCCTATCAGGGCCACTTCATTGTGTGGGAAGGAGCTCCAGGAGCTAGAATGGCATGGAAAGGACACAAAAGACATGTCTTCCTCTTCAAAAATTATATTGTGATCTGCAAACCAAAACGAGACACAAAGACAGACACGTACAGTTATATCTTCAAGAACATCATGAAGGTCTGGTCACTATATCCTCACCTAGAGCATTTCGCTGTCATTTAGAACTTCACATTTCTATCCAGCTTGGACATTTCACTAATCCTTTTCAGCTATTCCTTTGTTTCCAAAAGTCTTTGAAGCACAAGTAGAATCTACGCCCATCCCAAAATCTCTCTGCTAAACCTGTCAAAAACACGTCAGAAACCATCAGAAGCATGGGTGGATTTTTACCATGCAGCAATAAGATTACATGTACAAATGTTTATTCACCTCTGTTACCTCATTGAATTAACTGCATAACTACGTGATATTGATGTGAGTTTTGCTGTCTATAGTATTTGCTAGCATTTGTAGATCTTTGGTTTTGGCAGCCTGTAATGTTGGTAGTAAATTGGATGAAATGCTGTTTTAGTCATATGCTACGTTCCCAGAGGTTCTCTCTGCTTGCCATGTCCTTTCCTGACACCAATTCCTGTTCAGAAATGAAAAATTCAGAGGATTTGACCAGCTCATCTTCATACATTCAGGGCTTGGGTTAAAACTGCAAGAAATTGCAGAAAGGGTTTCCCCAAGGCAGTAGATGCTCAGCTCTGGTAAAAACTAACCAACCAAACAAAAAACCCATGGCGTTCTTGGCCTAGCCCAGTCAGGGCCTCCTGAAAATCTTTTTCTCTGTCCTCATTGATATTCATAGGCAGATTTTATTTTTCTAAGGAAAAAAAAAAGGGATGCTTTGCCAGGGAGTGCCTGCTCTGTAATTTCTTTTCATGTTGTCCCTAATTGTGCTATTTCTGGGCCCAACAGCGCTGCACTGTAGCGTTGGTGAGTTCCACCCTTGGGATACCCTTTAATGCTGGATGTTATTTTCCTGAAATGTGAGAATTACTCCCAGGAAAATGTCTGTTTGGTAACCAGAAATTCAAGTATACTGGCGAAAAGATTGCGAAGTGACCCTGCCTGCTCTTCAGCCAAAGCCGCGTTGCATTGCTAATGCAATCTGAAATCTTTAAAAGTGGTATAAATGATCCCTTTTGCTGTTGGAGCATCTAGTATCGCTTTAATGGGAATGGCACAACTCATGTCCGTTGAAGAGGGTACACACTTTCCATTTCAAACCTTGATTGAAGATGGTTCTGGTTCACAAAGGCTAGGTCCAGATCTGAAATGTCCTAAACTCTGGGATTTCAGTTACCGGAAAGGTTCTGGCTGAAATTCAGCCCTAAGAACACAGGATATGTGTTGACTTTCTTGTCCTCTTTCTGTCACACAGCTGAACAACATAGATGTGAACGACCTTGTGGAAGGGGATGACCGGGCGTTTGAGATCTGGCACGAACGAGAAGACTTGGTCCGCAAGTACCTCCTTCAAGCACGCACAGTGAATATCAAGAACTCCTGGGTGAAGGAGATCTGCGGCATACAGCAGCGGATCAGCGAGCCTGTCTGGAGTGAGTATGGCCCAAGATAGGCCAAACCTCTTGGTTTTTTCTTGGGTGGTCTCTCTGATTCAGGAAGAAGATTAGCAAAAGAGGGAGAGAAACCATCTAGGGTCATCTGCCACCTCTTAAACTGAATTAGGGTTGGAGGGTTTCCTTTAATCACTTCACAGACTGCTGAAAATAACAATTCATGTGACTTGACAGCATGCAGTAAGCTTTAACTGGAATGATTATAGCAGTGTTATGTCCTCCACCTGAGCTGGGGAAGGCACCTTTATCAGGATGGCTCGGTGCTGTTTGACTCTCTCCATTTACCATCAAGACAGCCAAGACTGTATATCACTGAAGTGATTAAATTTACACAACAGGGGTCTCATAGGACCTGTATAGATTTTGAGGGAATACTAGAGCAGATGAGTAACTTTCTAATTACTCTTCAGTGTCTGTAACCTAAGTGTGGAAAACACAGGCTGAGAAGTTGAGAAAAGCTGGCTTTCCCTGGCTGTTTTAAGTGATGTGGATTGCCTTTGATGGAGGATCGGAGTCAGAGGCTGAAGTGGTTGCTCACTCAGCTCCCTGTCTTCATATTCATATGTTTTTGTCAATAAGTAGAGGATGTCATTTTCCAGCAAAATAGCCCAGAAAACGTGCATCTGAGAATGCACGAGATGAGAAACACGTTATTGAAACTTCTGAAACACAAATTGCACGGTTGGCACTAGAAATGCATTTGATTTGGCAGGGATTGCAGAAGGGTAGATGATCACAGAATTTGGTGACAAAGGTCCTGGCCCATTGCATGAAGAGCACCAGACTCCAGCGGGAAAAGTAGTCTCAGGACCTGATCCAGAGTCCTCCTCATACCAATATAAAGTCTCCAGAGACTTTGTTGGGTGCTGAATCCTCCACTTGACTTCTGACTTACATGGCTGTATCTGGGCCCATGGGTTTGCTCTGGATTTTTATCTTGTCATTCAGGCTGCTTCGTCCTCACTGTTATTTGAGATTCCACCTATTTCCTATCGACAAAATTTAGCAGCAAGGATATTAATCTTTATTGTCCAGGTATAAGCTAGAAATGGTGTCCTTTACAGTGTTAGGAACTTTGGCATCTTAAAATGCCAGAACAGGGTTGGTTTTAGTCTATATACACTGGAAACAAGTCTGCATTTTATTTTTGTGCTTTTAGCGAGATGTTCTAATGAGGAAGACTGTCAGAATAATTTTCCATAGTTTCATATGGTAGTAATAAAATAAAAGCCTCTTAATAAAGCATAGATTTTATTGTATGGAGACCAACAGAATACTAGTTTGGATATCAAGTGTGCATTTTAATTGGGGAACTATCTTAACTGCAACAGCTGTGTGGTGTCTGAATAACGGATGTGCTTATTAAAATCATGGCCTAAAATACTTCCAGATCAGCAACAAATCCCATATTTTTATGGCCCATCTTTATAGCCAACAGCAGACATTTGACAGACTGAATTTAGTCTCAGATAAGCAAGGACAGCATGTCACCTGGAAAGTCATTAGCTGCTAAAATTTCCTGTTCAGCTTTCCATTCTGAACCTCACAGATTTGCAAAAATTATACCTATTCTTATCTTACTTTGTAGCAGCCAACCTATGGACAGAGCCCCCCTCCTCCAGACTAACCTGCTTATTCTGATGTTTCAGTACCTCCAGACTTTGAAGAAGAACTGGCAGATTGTACAGCTGAGCTGGGGGAGACAGTCAAGCTGGCTTGCAAAGTTACGGGATCTCCCAAGCCATCTGTCTGCTGGTACAAAGGTATGAGCAGCAAGTCATGAAATGCATCCTCCAAATTTGTTCTAATATTGCTTTGTGCTAATTGGTTAGTGGGTAATCTAAAAGCTGACCACCTAGAGATACCCAAGTTAAAGTTAGCTACTGAACAACCCAAGTAACATAGATCTTCCTGTGAGCTAATATACCCTGCTTTTTCAGGTTTGCCTGTCAGTCCGTATGAATCCACATCTTGTGGCAGTTAGACAGCTTCTAGTAAATGAACAACTTGTTTGAACTAGTTCAGATGTTTCCACGTCATAGCACAGGCAGCTGTGCGGACATACTCTTTTCCCCAGCATTACTGTATTGCAGAGGAAACAGCTTTGCTATAAGTTCACGCCTTGTAAAGATCTGTTCTGCATGTTTACAGTCACTTTGGAGGTGTTTCTTTGGCTAGCAAATCAGAGCTGTAACTGCCCAGCACATACTCTGGGACAATTTCACTTCTACATGAGGATTGATGATGTACGAGATCCCTCAACAGTGCTTTTGCCCACAGGATGTTTTGTAGAGAGCTGCAGGAAGATGAAGAGCTCATTCCTCAACTACCAACATCAGCTGCAATAAAGCAAATACAGCTCTCAGTCCTCTCAAGCCAAAAAGCTGGATGAAATTCCCAAGGAGAAAACATAGTTGATACTAAACTCTTTACGAAAACTTTTTTCCCCTTTATCTTTAAGATGGCAAGCCTGTGGAGGTGGATCCCCATCACATTATAATAGAAGATCCCGATGGCTCCTGCACATTGATCTTGGACAACCTAACAGGTGTTGACTCAGGACAGTACATGTGCTTTGCTTCCAGTCCTGCTGGAAATGCCAGTACCTTAGGAAAGATTCTTGTTCAAGGTAAAGTCCTGCACAGACGCATTGTTTTAAAGGGGTCTGCTATGTAATACCTTAAACATGAATATTAAGACATTCCAGAAGTTCTGTATAACATCTACTGGATAATACTTTAACAAAATTATTTGATGTACAGGTGTAGTCAATTGTTCTTAGGTCAAAAAAATGGCTCTTCGGTGTCTTGTTTGCAGACATCATGAGAATTATCTGGTCAGGGACACATTCTTCGTATCTGGTCATATTTCCAGTCACTAGCTACATTTATCCTTGTTTTGCAGTGCCACCACGGTTTGTGAACAAGGTTAGAAATGCTTATTTTGTGGAGGGTGAAGATGCTCAGTTTACCTGTACTATCGAAGGAGCACCTAGGCCTCAAATCAGGTCAGTTCTTCAAATCACACTGGAACAAATCCTGTTTTCCCATTTTGCATGATCATAAGAGTCTCCTGCCCTTTCTTTCAAGGTTATGACTCTTTCTTCTCTGTCTTCCACCGTAACCCCATCCCAATGCTGCCTCTTCCCAATCCCAGCATTCCTGGGATTCTCAGCAATTTGTTCTAGCTAGCATCTGAAAAGAAATACCTACAGATTATACCTGCCATAGGACTGTATCAGATCCTGATACAACAGGATCGCCCTGACAACATTTTATCATTCCTTTCTCCTCCCTGCCTTACACTTGAATTTATTTTATCAGCAATCAGTCTGGGGTATTCAGACAAAAAATAGCTTCGCAAGATTAGAAGCCCTTTTGCCTGCATGAGATTTTTTGAGAAGAATCTCATAAACCTGTGCAGTTTTATCCACGTGTAATCTACCCACCTGTAGACCCATCTTCCAGGATCCAAACTTTTGTCTAATGGTTAACTCTTGAGTTGTTTGCCCACTGGTCTGATAGATGGATCAGTGAGCTGGGGACGTCTTGACACTGCATATTTTTTCCTGGCTTATACTCGGTGTTTTCCACGTGCAGATGGTACAAAGATGGTGTACTGTTGAAAGACACAAGTAAATACCAGACTTTCAGTGAACCACGGAGTGGCATAATAGTCCTGGTGGTCAAGAACCCTTCCAATGAAGATATGGGACACTATGAATGTGAGGTAAGTTCGGAGAGATTTAAAGATCTGCTGTCTGACATGACATAGGTAGGAGAATTCATTTTACTGGGAGAAATCCATTGCATGAGAATAGTGGCTGAGTAATTGCTGCCACCTGCCATACAAAAAAGTTTATACAAAGTCAGGTTCTCCTGAACTAGACCTGGATTGTGAACATCCAAAGGCTTCAGAATATTCTGATCTGAGAGTTTGGGAGTTCAAATAATAATTGAGTGAGCTTGTTCCGTAGCTTAAATTCAGATCCAGATCTCTAGAGGTACCTCTTACAAAGTTTAGGACCATTTTGACGTGACGTTTTGTTTGTGGAGAGTCTTTAAGTTAGAACAGATTCATGCCACTACAAAGAAACCATCCGAAGCCAAAAGAAAGAAATTAAATCTAAATGGAAGTGTAGACCACTGAAATTCCTATTTCTTTAGCAAGCATATGTGGAAGTATGTAATAAATTAAAATAAATGTGCTGTAAAATATTTTCTAAAGATTTGTCATAGTCTATGCATTCATTGTAACAACATAGTAATAAGCTCTCAGGGCTCAGCCATAAAAACTGTTGACCTTGACTGAGGAAATTAGCATGGGTCAGCTGACCCATGGTAAACAGTTCAGCTCAGAGCAACTTCACAGTTATTCCACAGAAATTTTTTAGGAAGTTTGATATAATTTAAAGACTTCTACTAGAATTTTAGCAAAATCACGTTACCTTGCATTTGCCATTAGCTAAGATCCCAAGGTCCGGTATTCCCTTGGCTGAGTAAGACTCAGTTATTAATGGATGATAAACGAAAAAAACTCTTTAACTGCCACTTAAATGCCATACAGCAGGAAGAGCTACTTCAGGACCAAGTCACTGGCTGCAGAGCAAACTGCAAATAACTAAGTTAGCTGATGTGCCGTAACTTGTCCGTGCGAGTCATTTGTGGTAAAGCATTATCATGAACTCCACTGAGCAGCAATGTGTTCATACAAACTCTAGCTTAGGTTTGGGATCACACCTTTGCCTGTTTCTGTTGTCATGTAATTGCAATGAATTTGTAATGTAGGATAGGAAGGGTTTATTATACGAAAACATCCTGCGTTTCATTTGGTACTGCATGATTCTCTTTAGCTGGTGAACAGATTAGGGTCTGCAAAAAGTGGAGGAGAACTTTACCATCACAGTGCTGCAGCCCTGACCCAGGAGAGGAGAGGAGACCAAGCCATTACCATAGAAGGTATGATCCTTGACCAGCTCTGTAAGTATGTCAGTGAATTACTCTAAAACCATCTCATTGAGGATCGAATATATTTGCCATCTTATCCATGTTGATTGTTGGTGTACACGTATCTGTTTGTCTATCAAGATGTGCATGGGTATACTGCAGCTCAGCTCTATACCCATCACCATCTGTTGATTTCCAAACCTGGCAAATCAACTTCATCATATAATGTTCATAAATGCATTATATGAAAAAGGAGGAGCAAATGAAGGGTATGTCACACCGCCACTAGTGCAAGCAAAATGTTTCTATTCCTGTGGGAATACTTGAAAATGTGTGTCAGCCTGGCAGAACATGAGTTACATACTGCTGAGAAAAAACAGAGGCCAGTAAGTAAAGCTGCAGGCATATTGTGATCATTTCTGAAATACCACTGAAGACCATCTGGAATGACTGAGAAAGCAGAACTGACAGCACTATATTCTGAGCAGTATCAGTTCATCCGTTATCTAGGACTGTTGAGGTATTACACACCACACAGTCATAGAGCCTGTTCCTTTTTTTTGTCCGCATGTTTCACCAGAATTGGTAGGGTGATATGGACTGAGTTTACACCCATCCAAAACCACATCTTTCTTAACACCTTTAAGATGTGACTGCCTAAAGTTACCTTCTTATCAAAGGGATCTCCACAAGCAGTGTGTTAGACATGCTTGCTATAAACCCATCACAAGTGAGTTTAAATCGGCGGCTGCATCTCCGTAAGGAACATTTCCTGGTGTGGGAAATTGCTTCTTTGTACATCTTAGAAGTGTCCTTGGCTGTCTGAGCATGGGCCAGCCAGTGCTGCCTCTCTCGAACAGTTCCCAGCAGCGGTTTAGGAGATAATACAGCCAAGGACCGTTTATAATAGATAATAGATAGCTTACTGTTTTAGAGGGTAAGAGAGAGGACTAAGATAGGCATCCTCATCTTCAGTGTTTTCGCATTGACTTGTGATAACAACAGGGGATCAAGTGTGCTTTTGACAGGGGATAATTGTTATTATGAACATTCAAGTGAGAGCCATCAAACACAAAGGCATTCTGACTCAAGAAGCTGCTGAGCAGCAAATGACTGGAGTCTAGAGAAATATTCAGGGAAAATGGTACTCCACTCATATTTTTATTCATCATTTTCCATAGGCTTCTGCTGTTGGCCCTGTCTGAGACAGGGTCCTGGTCTGGATGGACCTTTGGGCCAGTCCTCTGTAGACACTGATTTTGTATTACCGCATTAAGAGGATTCAGACACAACAGGCTGTTAAGATTAGTATCCTGATCTATGTACTTGCTTGTCATGGTTTTATGCTTGCTTTCCTTGTAGTCCTTTCCCAGAGTACCATCAAATCATTCAAAAGCGTTACAGGGAGAATGGTGTTAGTAGTATAGCAACACTATAATTGTTTCAGCAGGGTAAACCTTGAACTACTTGAATGCTTTGCCCTTGCTATGCCCTAAAGAGAGAAAAATGAGTTGTATACAGGACGTAGAGGAACACAAACAAATCACTGTGTTAGGGTGGCATATCTTGACGAAATTCCCTTGTACCAAGGCAAAAGTTGTTATAAAACCAAACAAGGGCTGTAAAACAGTGGGAGGAGCATTGTTCAGCTCTTGGGGTTGCAAATGCATATGTTCAGCCCCGAATTACTCATGTGCTGTTACTCCTGCAATCATAATAAAAAATGTCATGAGCTTGGTTGAAGAAATATAATTGGAGTTTGCCTGGAAGCTTCAGAAATCTTATGAAATAGTTTTTGATCTGTGATGTGCAATTGCTTGAACTTGGTAATAGCAAAGGAAATAGATCCCTGAGTCACCTCCAGGGAGAAAGTGAGCTGCTTCAGGCCAATGGAGCAAAGAGCAGGCTCATCCATGGAGCCAAGAGGATTGTTCTGAGCAGAATCGCATCAGGGATGCATTTGGCATAATGCACTTGACCGAGGAGGGAATTCATTGCTTTCTTGAGAATCAATAACCAGCCTTGATCTACCTATGGAAAAATCAGGCTCATCTGGCAAAGAACTGGAGGACGGATGGATTTTATGAAGGCTTTCTGTTTCCATCCTTACCATCCTTTCTATTTGGGAAAGTGGGATGATTTGTAACTTCACCAAGAGGACAACATTACTGCTGTGTGGTACTATTACAACAGAAAATAGATATTGTCTCTGTTTCCTAGCTCACCTGCATGGTGGGTCTAAGTTTTACCTGATTTATCGTTGGTTCTGCAAAATGACTATTGTCAGTCTCCTGAGGCACCCAAGGGGCTTTAGTTGCAACTGTGTTTGTTTTTATCCTCCTGCCTTTCTGTACTGTTTATTGTACTGAACTAAACCTACTGTCACAATTTGGGATATCGTTAGTGCAGTGGTTTACGAGCCTGGACCTGCAGTCAGTGATGGTCCACAGTCCAACACCATGGGTCTCAAAACCAAACTTCTTGTCATTAGGTTTAAATTCACACGATAGGGATTTGCTGATCCATTGGAAGGACCAAATCCAAAAAGGACGGAAATCACTGGACTAAGGGGTCCCCTTGCGAGCACCCACAGCTTGGGCTGCAAGCCTGAAACGCTGAGTTCTGCCTTCAGCTACACCTGGTTGCTGCACTGAAGTCAATGGAGAGTTGCTTTAAAAATCCTTTTTCTGTGGATATTGGAAGAATTTTAGACACTTAAAAAAAAGGTGTAACCGAAAGAAGATCCTTCTCTTTGACTTCAAGCTGACTGTCTGCTTTGCACCTTGCTGCTTAACCTACACACAGCAGATCTGGGCTGATGTGCTCTGGCATCCCTCTTTAACATGTTACTATTGCAATTCATTCATCCCAGGCTCACTAACTTGTTCATTTTTTAAGAAAAACAAAGCCCAGAGTTTTCGAAAAGTGTTGCATTCTCACCTGGGCTGGCAGGTCCGGGACATATAATGAGATAGTTGATTGTAGGGGAAGAATCAGCTACACAAGTGGAGGCAAGAAGAGCCATAAAGAAGAACGCCCAGCGCAGTTACAGCCTGACGACAGGAATCTGTTGTAGCCTTGCCTTACATCTCATGCAGAGCTTTGGGCAAGTTATTTAGTTGCCTTGTTTGGTAATACCCACCTTGCAAGGAAAAGCTAAAAATTGAGGCTCTCGGATCGAAGATTGCTTTAAAACACAGAGGAGCATTAGATCTCTTAGTGCTACCCTTTTACTGAAGAAATAGGGCATAGGAGTTTGTCCCCTGACCTTTTTAAAGTTCCCTGGTTGGGGTGATGGTTAGGGTATTTATTTTGTTATTTTTATTCTGTTGTCATTGTCAGTTAGTCTCATTTTTGGGCTGGCCACGGAGTTTTCAGTGTAAATTCAAGAGAGCACAATCTGCCTTTACAACCATGTCGGTCACTGCAGGAGTGGAGACTTTTTTTTTTTTTTTAGAGAGTGCAAAACACTTGCATTTCATTCACATAATTTAGGAAACAGTGTTATGTCCATGAATTGCTCATTTTAAGACTAGCTTTAGCAGTTTGTGTCAGATTGGTGCATCCCCTGTTGCAGATTAATCTCTTAAGTGTTGCGGAAGAGGGGTGAAAGCAGAGCAGTGCTCCTGTGGTTTATGGCAGCAATGTATACCCTGCAGGAAAAATAGGTTTATGCTTCTGTGAGTGGAGAAAGCAGACTTAAAGTTTGTAATAAAGGCCATAAATCACCATTCATCCATTCAGAGCAACAAGAACTGACTTATCCTAAATGTTTCATCACTTGTAAGTCAATGATTTAACGTATTAACCAAAGAGGAGTCTAGTCCTATAGAAGCACTGGCTGATCCTAATGCTTACAGCTTTTAACCTGCTTATCAGGGGCTCCTGCTTTGCAAAGCTGTTTTCCTAAAATGCTATTGAACAAGTTGAAATGATAAATCCGGTGCTAAAACGGATGCAGAATATTTTCCTCTCGGGGAAAAAAAAAAACCAAACCAAAACGAATTCTCTCATCCTACTTTCATGTGGTTCTATCCTTCGTATAGGATTGCTTAAATCCTCCCTCACACCTTGGGTAGCAAATATAAACTTGATCTGTCATGCACGAAACTGCAAGTCATCAGGACCAATGTACGATACGCCATTTACAGCTTTCTCATCCCAGGCCTGCTGAAAAAAACTTTGACCTCTGCTACATATAGGAATATTGCAGTGGTGTCATATGGGAGGGCTGCAAGAACGGATATTAATAAAGTAAACATTACAGAGACTTGCTCTTGCAGATATTGGGGGATTTCATTAAATACATATTTAATTATCATATAAATACAGTTGTTAAAATAACTGTATAAAGCATCTATGTTTAGGTGTATAATCAAATTAATTCCTGTTTACATCAGAACCGATACTCTTACTGCTTATGGATTAATCTCATGATATTATTTGATGAGACTTTTCTAAAAGTTTTGTAAAAATTGCACAATATTGATTTAAGCGTTTAAAAATTCAATGAAAATTTCTAACTTGGGTGCAGTAAATTGTCTGAGCACTCAATTCCTCTTCCATCATTGTACAATTATCATTCCACCATTTAAAAAAGGTTTTGAATTATTTAAAAAATATTCACTAAGGATAGGTAAACAGTTATGTTATAATTGTGTTCAGAGACAAACATTTGAAAGGAATTTTGCCCTTTATTTACCCAGTAAGCTATAAACTCTAATTTCCAGATTTTCTTTAAACCCACCTAATTCTGCAGTAACTCCTTTGACTCTATTGGAAGTTATTCCAGCCTTTTACATGCATAAATGAGACAAGGCGCTGCAAAAAAACCATCGAGCTCTAGGTCAGATATTAACATCAACATTTGCACAAAATCCTTTTTCATTATGGTGGGATTTGTTGTTTTACCTAGCGGCAGAAGAGAGCCCTTGGAAGTTAAGTGGAAGGAAAATTAGGTTAAGCTATTCCACCTAATTGTTGTAAACGCATTTTTATTTGCAGTCAGTGCAGTTTTGGGACACTATTGAAAA